GGGAAATATAAAAGCTGACAACTATAAAACCCTTGTCAAAAATATGCTGTCATCGTATCAAAATATGGGCTGTAATATGTCTCTTAAGATACATTTCCTACACTCACACCTGGACTTTTTTCCTGACAATTTCGGAGCCGTAAGTGATGAGCACGGCGAACGTTTTCATCAGGATATTTCAACAATGGAAAAAAGGTACCAGGGAAAGTGGAATCCTTCCATGCTTGCAGACAACTGTTGGACTCTTCGTAGAGATGCTCCAGAAACGATCCATAAAAGAACAGCAAAAAGACAGCGCATATAGTATATGAATCTTGTTACTTTTTTTAATATATCCTTAAAAATAAAAAGTTTTTATAAAAAGGGAAGAATGAACAAATCCAAAGTGAAAACGATGCTCATTGTCTTTTTTGACATCAAAAGCATCGTCCACCATGAATTTGTTCCTCCTGGAGAAACCGTCAACGCCAAGTTTTACGTGGAAGTGCTCAGGAGACTCAAACGAAGGGTCAGTCGGGTCCGACAAGACATCGCAGCCGACTGCAAGTTGCACCACGACAACGCCCCGGCTCACACCGCCTTTCTTGTGCACAGCTACCTGACCAAGGCCGGCATCCCAACGCTTCCGCAGCCGCCCTACAGCCCAGATGTGCCCCCGGACTTTTTTTGTTTTCTCGCCTGAAAAGGCAAGCATTTTGAAACGACAGAGGGGACCCAAGCAGCATGCACCGCGGCTGTCAAGGCTATTCCGGAGAATGCCTACCGTGACGCCTTCAATGCTTGGAAATCGCGCCGGCAGCGCTGCATCGACGCAGAAAGAGCCTATTTTGAAAGTTTTTACAGAATTGTAACGATTGGCTCAATAATTTTTTGTAAATCGACCCAGTCCTATTACTTTTCGGACAAACCCTGTATACTCATTGACAGGCCTATCATGTTCAATTGGAGATAGGTGTGGCAATCAATCACAAAAAGGCTTTTCAATAACGAAATTTAACATTTAACCGACACCATAAATGTACGAAAACTGAATGCTTTTTATCACTTGTTCATGGCAAGTTAATTCGATATGTAAAACATTCTTGAATTCTAATAAACATACGTAGGTGTTTCCCTTTTTTGTCACTGAGTATATTATAGGACGAGATGAAATGCTGCATTTAATAGTGGTTTATATTTTTTGGTAAGGAAGTATAGACGGTTTGCTAAACAACTTACTCCTGCGACTAAAAATAGACAGGTTTATATATTTTTAATTTTACGATACGGGGCTTATAAACAAACTACTTGTGTAATTGAATTACCGATTTTCTCTACAACTCTCAAAACACGGTTAAATATACGCTTTGATTATCGTAAATCAAAGATACGTCAAGTATGTAATGGATTCATTTCAACTTAGAAATACAGCTTTAGAACTGTAACTGCGTTCAAATTGAAAGCAACTGTTAAGAAATATTCTTCTGCAATTGAAATTTTGCTGAAATCTAGGTTATTCAGTATTGCGACACATTTAAGATTCGATGAAAATACTAACATAGATGACAATCGTAGTTGAAAAAGTTCACCGTTGGGACCGAACATCACGCGATAAAGAAAAAATTCAAACAGGCTGTCTCAAAAGTAAGGTTCCCACAGTTTTTGACAGGCACTATGAACTCTTTATTTGAAAAAACGAATTTATTATTGGAAACGTTGACTTTTAAGCTATTTTTCTACATAGTTTTTCCCTATGACGATTTTGGATCGTCCATCTCTGCTTTTTCGGAAGCATCAGGAATTTCAAGCGTACTTCGCCGATCTTCAAGCGAGATTTGCTCAATCTTCGCCAAAACTTTCTCGGAGATCGACGGCCTCTCGCTTCGTTGTTCATCGTGGATGTCCATGCGGCCAGCAGAGACCTATTTTTAGCATTTGAGGACATGTTGACAGCTTATACACGTTTCCCGTACACTTCACTCAACTGGCGATGACTTCCTATGGGTGGTAACGCTTTTGCGTGCAAAAATCGGCACGTGGCGGAGACGTCGATGAAGTGCCCCATTGCGCATGGCTGTCCTGCGGGTACTGAGCGTCGCCAATAGGCGAGTCTTGTTGGGATCGGTGGTGGGGGAGCCGACAAACGCGACGGCCAGATTTCGCTTAACATCACGAGCGGCAAAGTTACAGCGTTGCGAACCCTACTTACAACCCTCGTATATATACGAACATTTTTGTATGTATTAGGACTATACAGGGTGTCCGCAAAGTTGGGGTTTTTCTTTTCAGAAACAACTACCCTTGAAATAACAAAGGTAATGTGTGGTGAAACGAGGGCGACCAAGTAAAAAAAAAAATAAAGGAGAAAGTACTCATTCTCCAGTTGACGAGAAGGGCTAAGTACGTCTCTGCCCGAAATCATACCGCTCCGATAGAAAATGAAATCAACTGAAGCGCTACCGAGCAAACGCAGAAATCACATTGATTGTCTTACACTTAATGGCAAACCTTCTAACAAGGAAGGCAAAATGTTGCGTAAAAAGTCTAGGTATTACATCCCGTCCAATCGATTTGGGAGAATAAATGGTCCAATGAGCATACCGTTCACCATGCCAGCCCAAACATTCACCGAAAATGTTTGTTGAAAATGTGCTCGACGGACAGCGTGCGGATTTTCTACTGACCAAACATGAGTGTTGCGAAAGTTATTCACCCCATTACGCGTGAACGTAGATTCGTCTGTCACCAATATGCACTTCAAAAAGTCCGGATTATTGTCATGTTGATGCTACAACCACTCACAAAACCGCACTCTTGCTGAAAACTCGTCAGGTTGAAGGGCTTGTACACGTTGGACGTGAAACGGATACGCAGCGTTTGCCACACTTTAGTTTTTGATACTTGCACTTCTCTAGCCACGTCTCTAGTGCTTGTTGAGGGATTCTCGTCTACGCGATTACCTCTACACGCGTGACCGTAACCGTCGGTTGAAGGTTGCATACTGACCTGACACACTGACCCCGGCCCAGTTCTGTCATCGGGTTGAGCCAGTGACCTTGGACCACTTGGCGATGTCGCGGCTACAGGACGGTATTCAGATATTTTTGATGTTGCAGAGCCCTTTATCTCGGTTCCCTTAAGATATTGGTGTATATGGTACTAAGAAAAATTGCTTATGTTTTCAAGATCTACACGTCGTGTAAAGGAAAACCCTAACTTTGCGGACACCCTGTATAGCAACATTTTTTATTTTTCTTCTATTTTCTGTCTCCTTTGTGTCGTACACACATAAGGAAATGCTTCAAGGTTGACTATTTGCAAACGACGGTGACTATTTGCTTCCAAAAAAGTTTATACTTCACATTGATGCCCTTTACAGCACTTTTAATCTGATTCATAATGATGAAGCGTTTTGCATTCATGGTGGCAAATCGATCTGTGTGGATGATATAAGGATAATAACATAATATAACAGACTTTCACGGAAGTATCTAGTTCTGTTGCACCGTCAACATTTGTCAACAATTATTTTTTTTGTTTGGAGTCAATGGATCTACTTACTGAGAAACTAAGGGCATTTGTGCACGAATACGCTCCTTCATTTGCAGGAACTACGAGGGCGGTTCAATGAGTACCCGTGTTTCGCGACAGAGGGCGTTCCTGAGGGAAGTTAATGTTATCATCGTGTGCTGCCATCTATCAAACGACGGCACAACAAATTTCAGTCTGATTGATAGGTTAGTTTGGATTTGACAGCCATTCGAATAACACGTGTTTCGTGATTTTCGCTAAGATGGAAAAAGAACAGTATCGTTCGGTAATTCGCTTTTTGGATGGGAAAAAATGCGAGGAGATAAAAGCAGAAGCTTATGGGGACTCTTCGCCATCTATGACAACAGTTAGATATTGGTTCAACGAATTTAAACGTGGACGAACCTCCGTTTTAGATGAGGATCGACCAGGACGCACGGCAGACGTGGTTACCGAGGAAATCATTCAAAAAGTCCACATGATTCTCGCTGATCGACGAACGAAAGTGAGCAAAGTAACAGAGGCCATAGGTGTGTCGACAGGAACGGCAATTAATATTTTGCATGATAAGTTGGCTATGAAAAAATTGTCTGCCCGATGGGTGCCGCCAGAAACTAAGCAACAATCAAAACAATGGATTTCTCCCGGTGAATCTGCTCCAAAGAAGGCGAAGACGACGGTCCCATCGGCCGGAAAAGTCATGGGGACGATTTTTTGGGATGCGAACGGCGTCATCCTCGTGGATTTTTTAGAAAAGGGAAGAACGATCACTGGACAATACTATAGTGAGTTACTGGACCGCTTCGACAAAAAATTGAAGGAAACACGGCCACATTTGACGAGAAAGAAGGTGCTCTTTCACCACGATAACGCACCAGCACATTCATCCGGAGTTGTCGCCGCCAAACTGCATGAAATGCCTTATGAAGTGCTGCCGTATTTACCCGATCTGTCCCCTGCGACATTTTCGTGTACCCTGACATGAAGAAACGAGGAAGTCATCGCCGAGACAGAGGCGTATTTTGAAGAGTTCGACAAATCCTATTTTTTTTGGGGGGGGGGGTTAAGAAAATGGCAGGAACTTTGGAAAAAGTGTATCTTTCGTACTTGCAAAATCTGGATGGTCTGCTTAAAGCTATGAAACCACTTTTTACCGTCCAAACCCCTGACCATATACAAAGCTCACTGTCAGACGAAAGCTGCCTTGTAATACTGCTATAACATCTGGTGATATGATAACCACTCTACATTGTAGATTGTCTATACGTGATGTTGTTGAGAAGATGACAGTCTGACTAACTGGTGACACTTTCTCAACGCACGATTTCAAGCAGCCTATCGACGAATGATCTTACCGTTCATTAGCTACTTGTAGATTTGGGTGATTAGATGATGATTTGGTTACTATTCTATTGATCTTTCCCTCGCCATAACAGCCTTTTTTAAAGTACTAAGTAAGACACGTAGAACAAATATCTGTCTTTTTCCAGCAATGAGTTCGGCACCTCGCCTCTCCAACCCAATGAAATAGTCTTCGCCCCTCTAGAAGGATGAGCGCGCAGGCGGGCGGCGACATCCCCACCATCTTCAACCCAGGGGGCGGTCGCCAACGCGCGCCCAGTGTCGTCGTGACGGAAGAGGGGGGAGTGGGCGTGGCTAATGGACCGTTCGGCCACGCCGACTCGATCGGCAGCCAGCCGGAGTCCAGCGGAGGCGGAGCGACTGCTACTGGGGGCGGAGATGGGGTCGTGACGACGTCCCCGGCTACACCCGCCTCTGGAGGGTTGGCCGGGAAGATGAAGTCGTGTTCTACGTCCGTATGCTCGAGGTCGGCAAGAAAGGTAAGGTGCGATATACACTTTTTTACACGGAAGCAGTCGCGCAGGCAGAAGCCTAAATTTTGTTAATTCGATTTTTGAACTGCCTAAGGTTAGGCAATCAGGAAAGTTTCCTCTTGTAGATTGTTCTACAATCTCGATACCCGCAGGACAAAGGGGCAGTCGAAACGGCCAGTTCTGAATGTATGAAGTTATAGGTTAATGTTTGTACCATGTAACATCACACGGACGCCATGTTTTGTTCCGCACAGGCCCAATAGAAAATAACCATGCCTTTCGCGTGAGTGGTGGTTTTATGTCAAACTATATACTTCTAATTTTCTGGATTTCTGGGGCTCAAAGTAATTCCAAAAATAAAACAGATAGTTCCTAAGGAATATGAATCAAAAATACGTATTTTCTAAAATATCTTCCTGTGTCCGATTTTTCAATTGCAGACTATACATGTATTTCAAATTGGGCATCTATAACTTGGTAGTTATATATTCGTTATAAAAGTTCTCGTTAACTAACTCATAATTGTTAACGCGACAATGCTGTTTCTACGCCTGAAGTATCATGTTCTGTGTGCTTCGTGATATTGGGTGTTTGTATCTTGTGTCATACGTGACAGATCACGTCACTGTCAAGCAAAATAGGTTATAGTTAACCCATAAATCGACTTCTGGTTAAAGTTATAATCCTTTTAGGGCAAACTTGAGACTGAAACAAGCTTCCATCTGGCCAATTTTCTGGTTTATCCAGTTTTTAATTTTATAGCTTGGCTAGAGCAGCGCTGGCGAAATGTTCATGCTGTCGCTAATAACCTTTCACGTGTTTGGAATGTTGAGATTTGAATAAATCTGATTAGCGCTGTACGAAATCACAGCAACCGCTGCAAAAATATCGTCGCACGCACGCGTCGCCCGAGAAATCACGCAATTTTCCATTTGCTATTCATATTTATGAGTCATTAATGTGGTGAAGTATTGAACTTTCTCGAAGTTGCGTTTTGCTAGAGAACTAAGATGGAGAGCGATGATTATTAGTCTGTATTTCTTATATGTCATACACTAAAAGAATAGTGACATGAAGTGCATTGTGACTATCTTCCTACAACATAAAAATTTGGAAAATGAGTAATTTAAACTATACTAAGTGACATATAAATCTGAACACCCAGTTTTAAATGGTTTTATTTTAATAAAATTTTGTATAAGTACTTAATGAAGCATAATAAGTAAATGATAAAAATTTCAAAATGATTGCACTGCTTTAAAGCCCTTTGACCTTTAATAATGTGTGGATGCACCCTGATGTGCTACGCATTCTCCAACGCGCCTAGGCATGCTTCTGATCAGGTGGTCAATGTCCTCTTGTGGTATCTCATTCCAGGCAACCACCAACTCCTCTCGAAGTGCTTCTAGAGTCTGAGGAGGACGTTGCAAATTGAGCAATCTCCTACCCATCATATCCCACACGTACTCAATTGGGGATAAGTCGGGAGATCTTGGTGGCCATGGTAACAATGTGACATCATTATGTTGAAAGAAGTCTATTGTGACTCTTGCAACATGTGGTCGGGCATTATCTTGTTGGAAAGTTGGATCTGCCAGGGTGTCAAGATAGGGTAAAAGATGGGGTTCTAGAACTTCGTGGATATAACGCTGCGCGTTCATGCTACCTCTGATGAAGATTAAAGGTGACCTGGAACCATAAGCTATAGCACCCCAAACCATAACTCCAACAGTGTGATGAACATGTTTTTCAACAAAAAAACTGTGGATTCCTCCTTTCACCACGTCAACTTCTAACCCTGGCACGACCATCGTGCATGCCTAAACAAAATCGAGACTCGTCACTAAAGATAATACTGTTCCATTCCTGATCCCAGAGTGACCGTTGTCTGCACCACTCAAGGCGATTACGTCGGTGTTCTCGAGTTAAAGGGAGGACCCAGTGTGGCCGGTATGAAAACAAGCCAAAACTTCTCATTCGTCGGTAAACACTTCGCATGCCAATAGGTCTTCCGTGTTCTGCAAACCATTCATTTGCAATGGACCTGGTAGTGGAGAAACGGTCCCTTAAGGCCAATAATCTTAGGCGGCGATCTTCACGGTCTGTTGTTCTACGGCGGCGACCAGTGCCCCTTGCTCTTTGCGTACGGCCTTCTCGAAGCCATGCCTGACAACACCTAACCACAATGTCTACACTTCTTTGCACTCTAACTGCAATTGCCCGAAAAGAAAGTCCAGCTTCCCGAAGTTCCACTATACGGCCCCTATCATACTCACTAAGTTGACGAAATCGTACAGGTCTCCGTACTCTAGGCATCGTAACCGATCGTAAAGGATGTCAAGAACCAAAATCCGCCAACGTTGATTCTTTACTGCGGCTGAAATATTTATTTTTAAAGCGTTAGTGAATTAAAAAAAAGCAGTATAAAAACCGGAATGTCCAACTGATAAGGCTGAAAATTTTTTCAATTGTTATTTACAGTAAGATAAATACATTCACCAACTTTTACTAAAATAAAACCATTTAAACTGGGTGTTCGGATTTATATGTTACTTAATACAATAAGAACCTTTGCGAATGAAAATAATAACCATTTAATCGATTTTATTCACGTTTACATCCATTCCCAAATACGATGTCCATGCGATATTTCGTGGTGTAGGAAGTTGGAATTGATCGATATCCGGCACCCACGAAGGGTTAACAGCCTTGCATATTTCATCGTCTACCCGCAATTATTCTACGTGATTCCTTTCACTTAACCCACCATGACATGCACTGAAAGAAAACTTTTACCTTTACATTTAAAGTTGAGCAGGAACTCATCACGGTTGCTGGAAAGGTATGGTTGTAGTTGGAAAGAAAGTTGGTTTTCTACTTAGTCCAGGTGCCCTAGCACTATCAATGCAACCTTGTTGCTCGTTTGTTTATACAGGGTGGCCAATATATAACTGACTGATTTAGGTGAAGTTAAAGACTTGCAAAGGTCGGGCCGTGTACGAACTGTTCGACCCGAATAGAATAGAATAGAATAGAATAGAATAGAACAGAAGAGAACAGAAGAGAACAGAGGAGAACAGAATCAACAGAAGAGAACAGAGGAGAACAGAGGAGAACAGAAGAGAACAGAGGAGAACAGAGGAGAAACAGAGGAGAACAGAGGAGAACAGAAGAGAACAGAACAGAATAAAATAAAATAAATAAAATAAAATAAATGATAAAATAAATATAATAAAATAAATAAAATAAAATAAACTAAAAATAAAAAATGAAAAAAAATGAAAATAAAATAAAATGTATAAAATAAAATAAAATAAATAAAATAAAATAAATAAAATGAAATGAAATGAATGAATGAAATGAAATGAAATGAAATAATGAAATGAAATGAAATGAAATGAATGAAATGAAATGAAATGAAATGAAATGAAATGAAATGAAATGAATGAAATGAATGAAATGAAATGAAATGAAATGAAATGAAATGAAATGAAATGAAATGAAATGAAATGAAATGAAATGAAATGAAATGAAATGAAATGAAATGAATGAAATGAAATGAAATGAAATGAAATGAAATGAATGAAATGAATGAAATGAAATGAAATGAAATGATGAAATGAAATGAATGAAATGAAATGAAATGAAATGAAATGAAATGAAATGAAATGAAATGAAATGAAAGAATGAATGAAATGAAATGAAATGAAATGAAATGAAATGAAATGAATGAAATGAAATGAAATGAAATGAATGAAATGAAATGAAATGAAATGAAATGAACTGAATGAAATGAAATGAAATGAAATGAAATGAAATGAAATGAAATGAAATGAAATGAACTGAAATGAAAATGAAATGAAATGAAATGAAATGAATGAAATGAACTGAAATGAAATGAACTGAAATGAAATGAAATGAAATGAAATGAATGAAATGAAATGAAATGAAATGAACTGAAATGAAATGAAATGAATGAAATGAATGAAATGAATGAAATGAATGAAATGAAATGCAATGAAATGAAATGAAATGAAATGAAATGAAATGAAATGAAATGAAATGAAATGAAATGAAATGAAATGAAATGAAATGAACTGAAATGAAATGAAATGAAATGAACTGAACTGAAAAATGAAATGAAACTGAAATGAAAAATGAAATGACATGAAATGAAAAAATGAAATGAAATGAAACTGAAAATGAAATGAAATGAATGAAATGAAAAATGAATGAAATGAAATGAATGAAATGAAATGAAATGAAATGAAATGAAATGAAATGAAATGAAATGAAATGAAATGAAATGAAATGAAATGAATGAAATGAAATGAAATGAAATAAAATAAAATAAAATAAAATAAAATAAAATAAAATAAATAAAATAAAATAAAATAAAATAAAATAAAATAACTAAAAATAAAAATAAAAAATAAAAAAAAATGAAAATAAAATAAAATAAAATAAAAATAAAAAAAAAAAAAATGAAAATAAAATAAAATGTAATAAAATAAAATAAAATAAAATAAAATAAAATAAAATAAAATAAATAAAATAAATAAATAAAATAAAATAAAATAAAATAAAATAAAATAAATAAAATGAAATGAAATGAAATGAAATGAAATAAAATAAAATAAAATAAAATAAAATTGGCGATCGTTACCGTGATATGGTCGAAAACTTTCTGGCTCCTCAAATCCAAACAATTCAACCTGCAAAACACGTGGTTGCGGCAGGACGGAGCAACTTGTTTTGCGAACAATATTTCCGGGACGTTTAATTTCTCATTTGGTGATGTCGTAGAGATCCGTCGGATGGTATCTCCCCGTTCGACACTCGGAGTCCGATATATTTCATTCAACAAACATTCGCGAAGCTCGAGACCATGCGACAATGCATGACGCTTTCCAGACGTTATGTCACAAGCGAGTTTTCAGAACACCAGCTTGGAAAAAAAGTAGTTCTGATTATTAGCGATCTCCTTAGATCGGACGGTGAAAAATCGTGTTACTTGAGATAATCGAATTTTCCTGGAGCAATTGAGGATATCACGCGAAGCACTTATTAGCGTGTTCGGATTTGCCACATACAGCACGAAAACACAGCAGCATGTTCCACTGGAAAGCCATATCAGAGCATCATCGTCTATCAGTTGTTTTATCAGCAGCAGTCAATTACCACTAGATTTATATGCGCATTCTCACACCCTACCGGAAGAATCAAAAGCTTAAAGTAGAACCTTGACCTTCAGCAATCTGGTAATGTGCACCAGAACCAGAAGTGAGTAGGTGCTTTTTTTTCCTGAAAAATGACATTAGCAATTGCGGATACGGTGCATGAGAAAAATTCACATTCGCTTATGACAGCGACTTCCTCGCTGTCGAGGTTATCACTGCTTGGGGACACAATAGTTTAATGCTTCCAAAATAAAATGCCTTGACGAACAAAAAGCGTCTATCCGGTTTCGATGGATGGCCGAGTTCAGCTGGTCGGAGTCCAGATCACCGAGAACTGATCTCGTAGCTGCTTCTCTCTGTATTGCGCTCACTTTAGCTTGGATAGTTCTTTGTGCTGCCTTGCCCCACCAAGCTACAGATCCGTAGGTTATCATAGGTCTAATAACCATGGTCTAAAGCCAAAACATTTGTTTAGGCTGCATTTCCCATCAATACAGGTGCTTTCGTCATAAATATATACTCTGAAAAATTGCGTAGGTTGTAAAACCTTAATTAGTGTATACTATGCGTTTATATACTCGGCCCTTTTATATAATAACGTTGTTTGGGGACAGGCCTCATCTATCGACAGAGCCTTCAACACCCAAAAAGACTAATTAGAAACACGTTCAATTTATCGTTCAGAACGTCCTGCTCATTTTTGTCAAATAGATCAATTAATAATGAATGGATATAATTAATTTCAGTTCTGCTCAGTTGCAAGAGATTTATGCCCTAATTTTTACTCATGTTAATGGTTAATAACTGGGATAGATGATTACTGAATCTTTCAATAACAGCCAAAAAATATCCTAAATAAAATCAACAAAATATTACTATTTTTAATGTGCTAAAACCGGAATGAAACTTATTTTTTCAATATTAGTTCAAGTTTTTGAGATACGGTAATTATATGTGTTCCTGCTGTGACAGTGTTAATATACTGTAATTCACAAGAATGCACGTGCTACATTTTTATATTCGGCAAGGAAAGATGATGTAATCGGCATGATTGTGTTATTGTGTTATTATACATACGTGTACATTATATTGTTTTATATTAGCCATTTTTTCCTCAGTTGGCTGACAGCGTTCAGCGATGTGTAAACAATCCAGATCAGTTTTGTTACGTGTGTGGTGATGTGACTTTTGCGTCTCAGAGACGGTCTATTACTCCACTAATAACAAAGGCATATCAGCTTTATTTCGGTTGTAAACTAGGTGATCAAGACAAACAGTGGGCACCCCACATCTGCTGTAATACATGTGCTTCAAGTCTGAGGAGCTGGTTAAATGGCAAAAAACGGTCTATGCGCTTTGCTGTCCCAATGGTTTGGAGAGAGCCTACAAATCATATTAATGATTGTTACTTTTGCATGGTACCTTGTGTTGGACAAGCCACAGGTATGTCCACGAAAAAAAATCGGTTATTAACTACCCAAAGATACCATCTCGGATGAGACCTGTGCCTCACAGTGACGAAAATCCTATTCCAAAACCCCCAGAATCCTACACTTGCGAATCAGAAAACGAATCAGATCATGGCGATCGAGTGATTCGTCAGGAAGAAGATATGCCATCAACGTCAAGAGATCCTGATTTTATACCGAGCACGTCATGCCACCAACCGCACAAAATAACACAGTCAGAATTAAATGATCTTGTAAGAGATTTATAACTTCCAAAATGTAAGGCAGAGTTACTTGGATCAAGACTGCAGCAGTGGAACTTGTTAGAAGACGATGTTTCAGTATGTGTTTTTCGTAAACGCCACAAAGACTTAGAACCATTTTTCAATATGTAGAATAACTTGGTTTTCTGTAGTAACATTAACGGCTTACTGGCGGCTTTAAATATAAACTATAACCCAGAAGAATGGAGATTGTTTATAGACAGTTCAACATTGAGTTTAAAGGCAGTGTTATTGCATATTGGAAATATTTTACCATCTCTTCCTGTAGGGTATGCAGTTCACATGAAAGAATCATATGACAATATGAAGTACCTATTGACATGCATAAAATACGATGAGCACCAATGGCATATTTGTGGCGATTTGAAAGTTGTTGCACTTTTACTTGGGCTGCAGCTAGGCTACACAGAGTTTTGCTGTTTTTTGTGTGAATGGGACAGTCGGGCAAAGGCACTTCATTACACCAGACAAAACTGGCCTGTTCGTCAATTCCTAGAGCCAGGTCAAAAAAATGTACAGCATATGCCATTAGTAGATTCGAAAAAAATTTTATTACCACCACTGCATATCAAGTTGGGCCTAATGAAAAACTTTGTCAAGGCATTAGATAGAGATGGGTCAGCTTTTCAATACCTGCGTCAGAAATTTCCAAGACTAAGTGAGGCAAAGGTTAAAGAAGGTATTTTTGTTGGGCCACAGATTCGAAATATTTTGAAAGATACACAGTTTGAAAACACTTTAACAGGTATTGAAAAAACTGCTTGGAATGATTTCCGTCTGGTGGTCACTAATTTCTTGGGAAATAGAAAAGCTGACAACTATAAAACCCTAATAATATGTCTCTTAAGATACGTTTCCTACACTCACACCTGGACTTTTTTCCTGACAATTGCGGAGCCTTAAGTGATGAGCACGGCGAACGTTTTCATCAGGATATTTCAACAATGGAAAAAAGGTACCAGGGAAAGTGGAATCCTTCCATGCTTGCAGACTACTGTTGGACTCTTGGTAGAGATGCTCCAGAAACGATCCATAAAAGAACAGCAAAAAGACAGCGCATATAGTGATTCTTATAAGTATATGAATCTTGTTACTTTTTTAATATATCCTTAAAGAATAAAAAGTTTTTTTTCTAAACCGCAACTAATTTTTTTATTTCATTGTCATTTTTGGATTCAGCGCCCCAAAATTAACAAAAAAGTGCACTTTTCCCACAAGATACAATTGAAAAACTAAAATTTGTTGTCCAGTGTAATTATTATTTCATTCAAAACATACCTATTGAGAATTAGCGTATTCCTTATGCAATTGATGATGATATTCTGGTATTATAATATATTCAGCTACGTTAAATTTAATTTGTAAATCTTGAAGAGACATGGTTGGTGTGAAGTTGTTGAAATAACTTGTTTTACAGGTGTATTTTCGAGTACAGAATCAAACTCAGAATCGGACATTAAATATTGCAAACAGTCACTTTTAGACGCTAAATAAATTCACTTATAGATAATGTTTATATCTAAATCTAAATCAGCAGAAGGATGGTATGGGAAAAAGTGAAAATTGGCGAAAAAGTTCCTAAAATTGAAAAATCATTGGGTACTTTTTAAAAACCGACTTTATTCATCAGAAGACGAATGATTACTGGTCACATTATCTTACAAGTACCCCCTATTTACAACCTGGAACAAGCGAATTAAAAGTGCAAGCCTAAGCATTATTATTATTGATATACTGTTTCGACCACTACTGTATGGTATTTTATACTTTTCAGATCTACTTCGGCATTTGGGTAACGGTATGCGTAACCGCATCCTGGGTGGGAGCCACACACTGTATCAAGTACCTGTACCTAGGCCGACCAAGAGAACCGGAAACTGATGCTGACCCTATGCTTCTGCCTGCTGGTATCAACGAAGTCAACATGACAGCCATACAGCCTGTGCATGTATATGTAAGGTTTCTACCTTTCCTCAAATTCGTATGATTTTTTCAAACCAATGTATATCGCATATCAAAAAGGTCTTGGCACAAACTAATGTCAAACAAGAATCCTGAGAACAATTATACTCTATAAATAATATAGACAAAGCAACGGGACTGTTCATAGAGAAAATAAAAAAACTAATAGATATTAGTACCAATAAAGTAATAATTAGTCACAAAGCGAAAAGCAGAAATGCCTGGATTACCAAAGGATTAATAACATCGGCAATAGAAAAAGAAAGACTATATAATGTAATGAAACTAACGCCAACTACAGAGAATACCGACTGCTACAACCAATATAAAAATAAATTTATAGAGCTTGCAAGGCAAACCAAACGAAAACATTACCTAAATAAATTGAATAATAACTTAAATGATCCTAAGCGGCTTTGGACAACTATTGATGAGATTACTGGGAAAACAAAATTTAAAGAGTGTGCCACTGAGATAAATACAACATCGGGAACAGTATTAAAAAATACTCAACAGATATGCGATGAATTTGTACAATTCTTTACTGACATAGGCGAAAATTTAGCAAGTAATATACAAGCAAATGTACAAAATACTCAGCCTCCAAAAAGAACTTTGAACTCATTTATTTTGGATAAAGTCGAGCAATGTGAATTATACACCACTGTTATGTCCTTAAAAAATCGGAAAAGTCCTGGGTTCGATGGTATTAAAAGCGAGCATTTGAAAATTATAGCCGAGGACATAACAGAACCACTCACTTACCTAATCAACAAATGCTTTGAATCTGGCATATATCCCTCAATTTTAAAAAAAGGTAGTATAATACCGATACATAAATCAGGAACAAAAACAGATGTTAACAACTATAGACCAATATCAATAATATCCAGTGTAGCCAAGGTTTTTGAAAAAGTTTTATCTGCTAGAATGATTCGATACCTCACAAAATTCAAAATTTTAAGTGAAAATCAATATGGATTTACAGAAGGGAAGGCTACATCGGACGCAATAACAAAATTGTAAATCAAATACATCAAAATATTGATAACAGAATCCCTTCAATCTGCGTTTTTGTTGATTTAAAGAAAGCTTTCGACACAGTTAATCACAAATTATTATTAGAAGCATTGGAGAGAATTGGTTTCAGAGGAAACGCGTACTCACTGATCGAAAATTATTTGTCAAATCGCCCACAATCTGTGCAGATATCAGGATCATTTAGTAAAGAAATGTATATTAAGTGTGGTGTCCCACAAGGAACTGTCTTAGGTCCGCTGTTATTCAATATATATTTAAATGATATTTTCCAAATTAATTGTGTTGGCAAAATAACTAGTTTTGCAGATGATACTGCAATATTATATGAAGGCACTGACTGGTCTGATCTGAAAAATGTAGTTGAAAATGATTTTATCAAAATTATTCGGTGGTTTAACAGTAGAAAATTGAGCATTAACTACTCTAAAACACATTTTTTACCATTTGGATCTTATGCTAGACATCTGCCCAATTACACAAATTTCTCCTTCAACATTAATGATCAAAAAATGCAAATTAATAGAGTGCCCAACATAAAATACCTTGGAGTAGTCTTGGATCCTCACTTACGATGGGACATCCATGTCAATTATATTTTAAAGAAAGTTAGATTTGTATCCTACAAAATTAAATACCTTGGGAATATATTGACAGAAAAATATCTTCGAACATTATATCATGCACTGATTGAGCCTCATCTCACATATGGTATATTAGCATGGGGAGCTTCATGTTCCTCACATATCTATAATTTAGATGTTTTTCAAAAAAGTATTCTAAAAATGATATTTAAAAAACCGAAACTTTATCCCACTGAAAAATTATACGCAGATGTTCGAATGTATGATATAAGACAGCTTTATTTCTTACACAGTATCACTCACTACCATAAATTTGTAAACACCGACCAAAAATTAAACATAATCATTATACCAGGTACAAAATTCGTGGCACAGTAGTTCCTCAACCGCATAAATCTATAATGCAGCGATCATATCTCTATTTACCGCCTAAATTTTATGAAATTATACCTAAAGACTTAAAAGATTTACGTTTCGGAAATTGTTTCAAAAGGAATTTAAAAAAGTGGCTACATACTATATCTAGGACTGAAATTCATAAACTCATAAATACGAACATCAACTAAATACATAATCTACTGTTGCTAATTTTTGTCCTTTTTTGTCATTTGCATTCTACAGTTTCAACTTAAATTATTGGTCCATGTACAGGCGATGCCTTCTATTGGGCTTGTTTTGATTTTATATTTATTTACTCATATTGTTTGTTATCTTTGTACATTGTTCAGCGTGAAACAGTAAACAAGCGATTTTTAAATATGTGTATATCTCAAAACCTTCACTAGAAAGCGTTCACGATGAAGTTTTTTAAAATTACTCCAAATGAGCATCACTCTAGTTCAGCAGCGGCAAGCCACATGCAAAGCTCTGTGTCAAAGATATGGAGTTTGATTAAAGGATCAAGGTTGGAGACATAGTGTTTTAGAAAGTATATAGCGAGGCCACAATAGATCCACTTGGGTAGCACGCCAACCCCTTTCTTCTGTAATCTGTAAGGTTTACGAAAAGACTGGCTTTTACAAAGCTGAAACAAAACATTTTTTAAAAGATAACAAGAACACCACAGCAAATTTTGTAGGATAAATTTGTATTTCTGTAGGAGAGCCAATAATTTATTACATTTATTTCAAATTGCCTTATTCTTTGCCCCACCCTTCTGTTCTATGATAATGTTGCACTTTGAAGAAGGCTAGCAAAGAAAATAGAAAAGAACGCTTCATTAAAGTTGTGGACAAATAGGTAAGAAATCTAACGATATCCACCTACAAATGGTTTGCCAAAGCTGATTCGATCCTCAACCCTTACGATGTAACTGACAGGAAGACCCCTACGTCTTCTGGCTTACAACTGCTCTACGCCTTAAACTTTGTACAGATGGATGTCGTCCTGACTATCGATGAAACGGTAGACCCGTCATGGAGCTGGAAGACACAGTACAGCAGACGCTCGATAACGTAAACACGGGATAATGAAAACTTGCGCTAATTTAAACACAAACTTCGTTCTATAGGATCAAACGGAACGCGCGATAACGTAAACAATGTGTACGCTCGATAACGTAAACAACTCTCGGCGTACGGAAACAGCGCGACGGTAAAATGCGATGATTAATTCGGGCGTCGGGGAGTCCCCGATTTATGATGTAGAGTGTAGGGGATTCACCTCTGCGATAAAATACGACAAACTCGGTCAGTCGTATGATCGTTTAGGATACGTTTATACGTACGTATGTATTTCATTTTTGAACTTAAGGGAATACATTGCACGCGTTAATATATTTTACGACTATGGCATCCACATCCTATAAAAGAAAGTGTTTAAAGTTGAGTGAGAAAGTGAAAATCATAGACGAAGTTGCACTAGGTGCGGGAGTGACACAGTTAGTAAAAAAATATGGAGTATCGAAAGCGACAATCTGTAAAATTAAGCGTATGAAAACTCAAATTTTACAAAGAACGTGCAATACATTTGGAGGTCCAGGAAAAAGAAAAACTTCAGAAAATGCGAAGGCTCCTAAAATGGAAGATTCCCTGTATAAGTGGTTTTTAAAACAACGGGAAAATCATGTCCCAGTTAGTGGCGAAGTACTTAAACAGAGAGCGAGACTGTTAAATGAAAATTTGAAAGAAACTGAAAATTTCGTAGCTAGTGATGCCTGGCTACAACGATTCAAAACAAGATATGGAATTCGACTGCTGTCTATATCTGGTGAAAAATTATCAGCACAACCACAATTAGGGCAACCATTCAAAGAAAAATTGATGCAAACAATTACCGAGCTAGATTTAAGAATGGAACAAATTTACAACGCAGATGAAAGTGGCCTTTATTGGAAAATGTTACCAGAGAAAACCTATGCTGCATCATTTGAAAAATCTGCCCCGGGAAGAAAGCCGGAGAAACAACGAATAACGTTTCTAGCCTGAACTAATGCTAATGGTTCATACAAAATAAAGCCACTGGTAATTGGGAAAGCAAAAAATCCGCGCTCGTTTAAACATGTTAATATCCCTGTTGATTATGACTGTTCAAAAACAGCTTGGATGACTAGCAGTATATTCCTGAAATGGTTCCACAGGTGCTTTGTCTCTCAGGTATGAAAATCAATTATCACAAATGCTCTATTCATAATTTGAAGATGTGTTTTCAATTTGTAGGTAAAAGGTTTCCTAAAACAACAGAAGCTTTCAATAAAAGCGTTGTTACTTATTACATGACTCTAGACACCTATGGTCCACTGTCAATGATATATTCAATAAGTCATCCTATTCAAAAAACAATATTAATGAAATAAAAACAAAAACAGGACAGAAAACAGACAATATTCAGCAAATATGTGATGAGTTCATAGAATTTTTCACGAATATAGGAGGAAACTTAGCAAATAATATCAAACAAAATGTTGATATTCATCTGCATGAAACAAGACTAAATAATTCATTTGTATTAACTGAAGTAGACTATCAGGATGTTTTCAATGCCATTATGACTCTAAAAAATAAAAAAAGCCCTGGAGTTGACGAAATTAGAGCTGAACATCTAAAGATACTGGCCAAACAAATAACAGAACCACTTGCTTATATCAGTAACAAATCCTTCCAATCTGGAGTATTTCCATCAGCTTTCAAGACAGCAATCATCATACCTATCTATAAATCTAATGATAATACGGACGTCACTAACTATCGACCTATTTCACTTATATCAAGTTTAGCTAAAGTTTTTGAGAAATTACTCCTTAATAAAATGATTAATTTTCTTAATAAATTCAAAATTCTAAATTCAAATCAATATGGTTTTATAGCGGGCAAATCTACAACAGATGGGGTATTAAGTATAGTAGATGAAATAACCCAAAATATAGATGGAA